GATAGATAGATAGATAGATAGATAGATGATAGATTCTATATATGAGAAAATATGATATTCAGCTTTCTAAATTTAGCTTAGTTTGCTTAAGGTGATGATCTCCAATTCTATCCATTTTCTTGCTGATAACATAATTTTGCACTTCATTACTGAATCAAGTGCCATGGTGTACAAATGCCATATTTCACTCATCTGTTGAGGGGAACCCAGGCAGCTTCTATGCCTGGGCTATTGTGAACAGTGCTCCAATGAGCATGAGTGTAAAAGGATCTCTGTGGTGCATGCAAACCTTCCAGATATGTAACTACAAGTCCTGTAGCCAGATCATACAGTAACTCTTTTTAGTTCATTTGTTAATTGGCCTTTACTGATTCCCATAAGAACTGAATTTACTTTCCCACCAGCACTGAATAAAGGTCCCTTTTCCTATCTCTCTCATCTTGTCTAGATGTTTTGTTTGCCTTCTTCATGAGAGCCATTCAGGCTGTGGTGAGACAGAGCCTCCTAGTAGTTTTGATTGGCCTTTTCCTGATAACTAAGGTTGCAAAAATTATTTTCCATGCATTTACTGGCTGTTTGTCTATTCTGTAACTCTTATCTCTTGAAGTTTTAGTGCTTTGAATATAGGCTCTAGAAGAAAAGTCTCCAAACAGCTTATTGTTCATTCAAACCTTTTTCCTTTGGGCTAAACATCAAATCCAGAGAATGAGAACTAGAGGATTTTTCAAATGTCTTTGCTTTCTGTGGATCATTTCTTTTCAGTGTTAAGTCTTTGTAATTTTACTACCCACCTATTGATTAGCCAGTCCTCTGGAGACAATAGGGCTACATTCTAAAAATTAGATGTGAACTACATCTGCAATACAGCTGCATTGTGGGGTTGCTGGGCATGCGCAGATGTGCAAGTATGCAGAGCTCCCACTCTGGTTTCAGCACTTTCCTATCTGCAACCCACTACCTACTTGTTGGGTAACAAGCTTTGAATATAATTTGGGGAACAGAATAAAAGCTTCGCTAGCAGTGGTTTCAATAGCCTATATGTCTCCGACTTCCTGTTCTTCCTTTGTTCCCTAGCGATGAAGTCTGCTATGTAAGAGAGGAATTAGTAATGAAAGCGCTACTGAGTCCCAGTTAGTCCCTTTGATTAGCATCTTTTCTTCTAACATATGGTGAAACAACGAGCAATGATTGTGGTTTCAAATCTAAAGAATTATACTATTTGTTCATTCCTGGAACCTGAAGCAAGCATCTGGCGGTTAGAGCTTCCAGAAATAACAGAAAGAAATGAAAAAGGACAAAGAGCACCTTAGCACTCGCGGGTGAAAATGTGTAGACAAGATTAAGCCACGGCTTAAGTTAGTTCATTGTATTAAAGGGTGGGGAGCCAGGGAGGTAGCTCCGTGGAAATCAGAGGACCTGAGTTCCAATTCACAAGATGCACACAAAGCTGAGTAAGGCAGTGTCTGTAATCCAAGCACACCTACGGTGAAATGGGAGATGGAGACAGCAGAAACCCCAGAAGCTCGGAGGCGAGTTAGTTTTGCACATCACCCAACAATAAAGATAGCCTGCCTTAAACTCATTAGAAGGTGGGGGCTGATACCTGCGGCTATTCTCTGACCTCACATGGGTGAGCCATACATGTGCTATGGCACATGGGCACCCTCACTCACACAGACAAGCATGCACACATACACACACACACACACACACACACACACACACACACACACTGCACGTGGATACGAACGATAACTAGACTTCTGCTTCCTTTTATATAGGACATAGAAACCATGCCCTGGGCTTAAGGGTGTCTTCCTTTTTTGCCTAATCTTACCACTAAAAATAAACTATATTTAGTATTCCTTATCAGAAAAAAAGATATGCTCTAAATGTTCCTTATCTCTATCACGTGAGATCAGAAGCGCCCCAGTACCCACCCACTATTAGATTCATGCATTTTGTTACTTAAAATTATGTTTTTCACATAAACGTCTGTCCCGGTTTTTTCATATTTTATTTTAAGATTATTCTGGCTCACACTTTCCATTTCCAGACAACACTGGGCAAAGAATTTGAAATAAAGATATGCTGTTCCTTTTGTGGCAGTATTCACTTGAACAAGTACTGAAGGAAGTAAAACAAACAAACAAACAAACAAACCCGGGTAGGGTAATAATTAGTCTGCTAGATTTGCCATGAGAAAATAGCACCAACTGAGTGTCATAAACACCAGAAATCTTTTCTTTGTAGTTCTGGAGTCCAATACCAAGGTGTCAGCAGTTCTGGCTCTTCTGGAAGCTTCCCTGGCTCACACACAGCTGGCTTCTTTCTGAGGGTGTCCTCACATGGCCTTCTCTCTGTGCCCAAAGATTGTTTGCTGCCTCTTCGTCCTCTGGCAGGGACACCAGTCTTATTGGTGACACCCTTATGACTCGATTTAACCTGACTTACCTTTCCTTTAAGACAGTCAGCCTGTGAGTTAGGGCTTAAACTCACAAATCTGGAGTAAATTCACTTCACAACAGGTAGCAATGCAGCTTGTCAAATGTGTTTTAATACCTTCCCTTTGGGAAGGAAACAAAAATCTCAATAAGAAAGGTGATAGAATTCACATTTGCACATGGAAGTTGTTTGAAATACAAATGTATATGTATCTGTGAATCATTTGGATAAGGATATCTTTTACAACTCCATGGGTAAATGAACATAAACTCACCATTAGCTGCTGCTTTACACTACCCCATAGAACACACAAGTACTTATCAAAGGCAAAGGCAAGTAGGTAGCACTGGCTTCCTGGGAGTATCACTTAATGTTCAGTGACAACCTTTACAACCTCTCATTTTTAGTGCATTTGACTAGGGTTTGCTAAATATAACAAATCAAAATACATTTCAATTATAGTTGAAGAAAGATGATTGGTTTATTCATTTATGATAAATTATAGTGTCATTTGATAGTTGGAACACACTTAAAAGAAGAAAAAAAACTCCTTCATGGAGTATATATATTCTAAAAAAATGATTTGTCGTTTATCTAGGATTCCAATTTAACTGTGGGTTCTATGGGGTTTGTTGTTTGGTTGGTTGCTTCCTAGCAAACTTAAAGATTGGACTTTTGGGAGTATGGGGTGTGTGTGGAGAGGGATTCATCAGTTAAGAATGTTTGCTGCTCTTTCAGAGGACCAGAGTTCAAATCACAGCATCCATTTCTGGAGACTCACAACCCTCTGTAACTCTAGCTCTCGGGTACCGGTCTGAAACTCTCAACTGGCCTCCAAAGTCACCCTCACACACATGGTATACATAGAAAACACACACACACACACACACACACACACACACACACACACACACACTAAATAATTTTAAAGAAAGAAAAAAAATGACTCTCTTCTCCAGCCCCCATACCTAGTTAAACTGCTCTCACTAACTTCATAAATGTAATTTTCTGATCTTTTTTTTTTTTAACCTCTGCCTTAAAGCACAGACCTTAGGCTCCTGACCAAGCTTCTGCATGATATATGACTACACTATATCACATTAAATATTAAAATGAGTTATGTGCCCAACTCTCCAGCTGAAGTATTTATGCCTCTCTAGCATCATCTCATCATGCCGTCTGTGTGATTGCAGTAGTGGGCTTCAGACACTAAGGGTATCAATTGTTCTTCCCCGAATGCTAGGCTGCTCGCTCGCCTGTAAAAGCAGAGGATTGGGTTCAAGGTGTTTTTCCCCAAGGGTCCTAACGATTCCTCTCCAGGCTTCCCTGAAATGATTCCTCCATTTGCCTTGCGAAGTCTAAATTGTTCCTACTTCAAATTAATCCTTTTCTATCTCTCTCTCTAAGTTCATAGTGCTTCAATTGTTAAATAATTAAAAATTATACTACTCAGAAATCCCACCTCTGAAAGATAAGTTTACCAACCCTAAATTCATCCAAGGGTGAAAGAAAGTACATGGATTTTTTTTTCCTCCACTCCTCCCCCACAGTTCCCTTAACACAGATTTTGTGCAGATCGCGAGCTCAGATGCTGTGCACACGAAAATGCTGATGATGTTCAAACAATTCCGTGGTGGTGGGCTCTGACTGATGGAAATAATTTTACAGGGAACTGAAGCAGTCTCCGGGGCTTGAATCCGACATCAGCCGCTCCTTGTTCTCTACCGCCATCTAGTGGTGCAATGGTCACACATCTGCGCAACGTCGTAGTTCTGAGCTGAGATTTTTAAATATTGCTATAAATCAAATGGATGAATTGTTTTATTCTCGTGATCGTAGTAAAAGGAGATTTAGAGTCTTTAAACAGGGAAAATGTAATAAATGTTAATAAAAGTTAAGTATAACACAACAACAGATATTAGCATTTAAATGGTATAAGTGTGCACAATTTAATCTCTTTATGATGTTCAGATGTAAACCTGAACACCGAAAGGAAAAAATGCAATGTACCCTAACATGTGAAAAAATAATCTCTTCTGCTCTTGTATCATGGTAAAGAGTATTTTTGAAATAATGTAATCATAGCTGAGGAAAAGCAACAAAATAATGTTCTCCTAAATGTGGAGTTGGTACAGGCTGCTAGGCCCATTTAACCATTTGTCTTCAATTAGATTCGAGCTTTAGTCTCATTAGTATCTATAAACGCAATACAGTGCTTAATGAGTGTTGAATAATATTTAGTTTTTAATGTCCCATAATCTGGAACTTTCTCCAAAGGGCATAATAGCGTGTTTAATTGTGTGAATCTAAAGTAAAAAATAAATTTCTCTAATGAATGAAACAAAATCTTTCCAAAGTAAGACTTTTTCCCATTAAAGCTACTTTTCCCAAGTAACAATTATGGAGGGGGTAATTATCCCAATTCTCTATTTTAATTTGACGTGCTAACATTATTACAAGTGCTTGGAGATTGCAAACAAGAGATATTTAAAAAGAATGCCTGTGTCTTAATATACTTGTGAGCCAACTTCAAAATATCTTCTTTTTTCTTTCAGGGCGGGAAAATCCCTATACGGTGGACAGCCCCGGAAGCTATTGCCTACAGAAAATTCTCTTCTGCAAGTGATGCATGGAGTTATGGCATTGTCATGTGGGAGGTGATGTCCTATGGAGAGAGACCATACTGGGAAATGTCAAACCAGGATGTAAGTGCATGGACAGTTTTGTCATTTTGTGAATGCAAGCACATTACCTTTAAGGGGGGGGGAAGAAAACCTCTTTTAATTCTCTCTCAGATTAACCCTTGTCTTGCTGACTGTTTCACAGTGGACTGTTGGGGGGAGGATGGGCTTGAGAATCCCAGGAACCGTTCACGCAGTTGACTGGGTGAGCTGGACTGTGTTCCTTGCCTGATCTGCATCCTCGCTGAGACATCCTCACTGTCTTAGAGCAGCCAGAGGGTGCTTACCTCTGGTTAACCACAAGAAAGAGTAGTGTTGACTTTTCATTTTGTCCACGGGGCAATACGGGCCACCACTGTAAAGCCTGTGTCAGTGAAAGCTAGATAACACTTAGAAGAAGAGAGAAAGCTCTCAGGCAATGCACTATCCATAGATGTCATCTCTCAAGGTTCATTTGAGATACATAATCTTTTATCCAATCTCTCCCTTTTGGGGGTTATGTTTTATCTATAGCAATTTGTGGTTGATAACATTACAGAATCAAATAGTTCGTACACTTAGCCTCTATGATCTGCCCACAGTCATAGAGACAGTAATCAGAATTATAGCTAGCCCAACAATGCAAGTGAGGGCAAGGTCAGAGCAGACAATGTATTCTCTGATCACTGCCTCATCTCAGAACTCAGGTTTGTCTAATTAGAAACCTTTAGATGGTTTCTAAAGCCGTAGTGATGGTAATGAGTACTAGTGTGATTTTGGCTATCCATGGATACAAAGATAGCTATGTGACTGTAAATCGTCCCTAAACACACACAGAGCATAACTACTGAGGCGTCACATTCCTTTACTCCAGTTAAAATCTGACGACCTCCCCACAAACCTCCACACTTCACCCTTTGCTAGTATGCACTACAGCTTGTTCACATTTTGCAAGATTTGTTTTGTTTTGTTTTGTTTGTTGAGTCAGGGTCTCTCTATGTAACTCTAGCTGTCCTGGAACTCACTTTGCATAGACCAGGATGGCCTGGAACTCAAGAGATCTGTCTGCCTCTACCTCCCTAGTGCAGGGATTTTATAGTCAGGCATAAGCTTGGTTAGATGTTGGGTGCAGGTGATACTTCTGCTGACATGGAGTGTTACTCTTGCAGCTGAGTCCTGCCTTGTTGTGTGGGTATCTACTGACTGATTATGGGGAATTCTAACACCAGGTATCTATAAAACAACAGGGATAAGGTCACATGAGCTTCGCAGTTATTGCCCTCCAAAGCATAACATCAAACACAAAGCCAGAATAGCATGGTCCTCCAGAACATCTGGAACATCTGGTCTTACACACAGAGTGTGCTGTAACAGCAGCCTCTGTGACATACCCACCATTGGAGCATTTTAAGGCCATGTACTTTGGCTAGAGTCCTCTCTATTCCCTGGAGGGGTCTTGTCTAATGGACCTCACAGCTCTTCCTGTGACCCTGTCACACTGTGTGTGTGTGTGTGTGTGTGTGTGTGTGTGTGTGTGTGTGTGTGTGTACTGAGTGTCAGTTCATCAAATCCTTCCCAGCACTTTGTGATGATACATTCCAGAACATAAAATTTTCCCCTTCACTCCTAGAACTTCTGCTGTGAGTTATGGTTTTATTTTTATTGTTTATGTGTACTTCTTTTTTAAAAAAAGACAGCAAAAGTATTGTAAGACCTACATTCAGTCACTATAATACCTGCTTTATTCGAAATGTGAACATTGCTCATGTACATACTGTTTGGACTGAAATAAGCCATCCAAGCAAATCCCCAGAATCAAGTCCTCTTCAGCATAGCTCACTGTCTGTAGTCACATGGTAATGAGCTGTTGGTGCTTTAGATTGCAGCCATAGTGAACTCTTAGAACAAGTCATGGCTGGGGAAAGCAAGGAATAACTGTGACTTCTATGTTGGTTTGCTTGTTGTTGATTCAGCCTCCTGTTTGGGGCTGGTGATCTCCCGCCCTTATAGTGTTCGTGTTTTAACAGTTAGGATAGAGACTGGAAATGAAATAAATAGGCAAAAATACAATATGTGACCTAACACTAATGATAGTAAAGCAAAAGGGAGAGATAAGAAACTCCAGGCTTAGGTCTGATTTATTTTATTTTTATGAAACATTTTCATAAAAGTCATTCACTTATGATAATAAAAGTCATAATTAGTCCTCCTTATTAGACATTCAGAGGGCGTAGTTCTAACAAAAGCCTGACGAAAGAGCAATTTCCAGAGTTTCTTGATCCCTATATTTTCTTTCCTCCTGGGACATGTTGCAGTCACAGACTTAGCAAGCGTGGCCCTGATGGTGTGCACTTTGACTCAGTCATGCAAGCTACTTAAACGTTGAAAGTGCCTCAGTGTCGTGAATAAATAAAATGGCACAGAAATGAGTTGTGTTCCTGTTTAACGTGCCTTCTTCTTATAACAAGAGGCTGTGATTTTATCTCTGAAGGGACACTGGTGGTACTTATTCCAGCAAAGAACGATCCATGCTCTTCCTTTTTCTAGAATAGGGTTCTTCCTATCTCTACAGAGGTGCCAAAGCATAGATAGGACTTTCATAGGGTATACCAGGTATGACTAAGGATGCCAGACGACAAGACAGGTTGCTGAGCAGGACAACTTTTGTAGGGAAATTCCCCAAAAATGCCATTTGAACTCAGACTATCAGAGTAGTCCAGAGCCTGGTGTCAGCCTCTCCCTGCCTGGATCATTCCCAACAATTCACCCAGCAGTTCTGGCCGTAGATCTTGAGGATCAGCATCCAAGATGACCATTTAGAGAGTGATTTTGTCTATTAAGCCTCATTTGGCTGCCTGTCTGGAACAGGGGAAGATTCTACAGCCAGAAATCAACTCCTGACACTGAGCCTGCTCACATTTGTTCTCAGCACCAGGCTGAACTTTTCTCTACCCAGATCCACGATATGTTCTCAGTTACTGTGATTTCACTGTCTTTGTGGATGACCAAAGAATACTCAAAAGAGAACCTGAGAACCAGGAGGGGAAAAAAAGTGGGGGCTAGAGTTGGGGAGCCAAATTTTGAAGCCTTCACACACACACACACATCACTACATGATAGCAGAATGAGCAGAATGAGCTAAAAAAAATCTTTTATGTCATTTATGAATACTTTCTGCTGCTACAGGAATTCTGTTTAGCTAAACATATTGGAAGATAGCCTATCTGTGATGGATTGCACAACCAGAATTTCCATTTAGAAGCAGAAATAACTTAGTTAAAATATCCCAACTGCTTCTGCCCAAATACTGTCTATTCCCTGTTTATCCTCCAGTCCGCATTCATTGAGTCAAGGTATAGTTTTACATCTGACCACTTCTAATGACTTTCTAAGAAAAGTGATGAGGCAGAGAATAAAAGTCCAACTATGCTCCATTTCAATATTTTATATGCTTTTACCACATTTTGGTGAGTTTAACAAAGCTGTGGGCACAGTTCAAATTGAACATTACAGTGTTTTATGATTGTTAATGAGTTTAGGAAATTTCAGACAGTTTTTAGGAAATAGTTTTTCTATTCTGCACATGGTGGTGTATTTTATTACAATGAACAATTCTGAGTCTGCAGAATCTGTGTTAGTGAGTAATATAATGAGTTTCCCAAAGGTCAGTGGAATTATACATTAGGGAAGGGAAATGAGAATTTAAAAAAAAAAAAAGGCAGAATGCACAGAACTATGCCATAAAAAAATCTAACAAAACATAATAGCAAGTGCCAGATGCTGAGCCATTCAGCAAGTACTTATTAAACATGTGTCAATCACTGGACCAGGTGTGCTTGTGGGGCAAGAATGGGGAACAGGGAAAATCAGTCCTCCACCGTGCGAAATGGCATAAACAAGAAGCAGAAGGACAGATAACAGACTCTCTTCCACACAGGGAAGCTAAAGAAGATGATCACATAGTACTAATGAGTGGGGTGGTACTTAACTAGACACTAGGTACTTAACTAGGCACTAGACATGCACAGAGGTCAGGCAGCAAGTACCAAGAATGCAAACGCATCCAGATCAGAGAAACAAGAGCTGGTAGTGTTCTATGGAGCACACCAAGGTAACTAGTGATTACACACTTTGGGTTTGTGGGAGTTGTGTTGTGTTGTTTGGTTTGGTTTGGTTCGGTTTGATTTGGTTCGGTTTTTTAAGACTGAGTTTCTCCGTGTAGCCCTGCAGCTGTCCTTGAACTAGCTCTGTAGACCTAGCTGGCCTCAAACTCAGAGCTCTGCATGTTTCTGCCTCCCAAGTGCTAGGGCCAAGGGCATGTGCCATCACGACTGGCTTGATTATATATTTTGTAAAGAACAAGATGAGAGAAGTTTGAAGATTTCCAGAGCAAAGAAATGACAAATAGTTACCGAGATGGAAACGTTAATTTTGCTGACTAATAGCTACCCACGGTACAGCCATATGGAGCTCTCACTTTATGCTATAGACACAGAAAAGAATGAAGGGGGCATATTTCTCACTAAGGAAATCCATTATTTTTGGTGTAGATATGAAGTTCTGATACCTCAAAAGTCCTACACCCATGTCCAATTAGAATGACACCAGGGAACGTATGCTGTTCTTTTTAAAATGTAATAAAGCATTGTATAATTACAATAGTTATTTAGAGTATACATACAAAGAAAGCATGAAAACTCTGTTATAGAGTGTTTTTTCTGCTTATTAATGAAAGGAACCCAACCCAAGCTAACTAGAACAAGAAGTTGTTTTGTGTTTTTAAATCATGAAACATCAGGTCTCTTGGCACACTGGATGCAGGATTTTAGTGTTGGCCTGGATTTCCAGGCTCTTTCTCTCTAATCACTACATTCTTTGCTGCCTCATACTGTGGGGCTCAGGATTCCAGCCTAGCAAGAGCAGAACAATGAAATCTTTCTCAAATTCCCATGGCAATTCAATGTTAGAGAAGACTGTGGCTAGCTCTGTAAGGACTCTCTCTGTTCAGCCCCGACCTCAAGCCCAACCAGGGGAGTGAGTACTGTGGTTAGTCATGCTAGATCTCCATGCCAGCCTTCTCCATTCCTTTCCACTGTGGTTGTAAATTTTCCCATGGTCACATGGAATGAGAGAAGGATTCCAAGTTGAAAGTAGTTGTGCAGTTAGAAGATGTGTGCGGTTCTTTCATTTGCTTGTTTGCTTTCATTTTGCCCATCCTTTTGGGGTATTTGTCAAGAGCAACTTTAATGTAGTCTCGATTTTGTGTGACACTAGATGTTAATAGGATTTTTTTTTAAAAAAAACATTCAACCTGCTCTTATTCTCTAGATCCATGAATAAGCCATGGTCCACAATGACTGTCACAGAAAGGAAAATGTCCAGTATAGCACTGACACAAGATTGTTGGAGCATCATGCCTTGGGGAAGACTATGGAGGCAAAATGAGCAATGGGTCTCCAGCAGCGTTGTTCCCTATGGTTTTATGTCATGATGCATCAGATCTTGAACTATATAAATTTAGGTGTATAACTCTGTACCTGTCAGTCCCCACACCCATGTGATCAGGAACCAAGGTAGTCTAGCACCATAGCAACACAGGGCCTCTGGTCACTGACAACGACCAGAAAGTGGCACTATCCATCATGGCTAGCCTTTTCTCATTCTCCATGATGAAGTGTAGGTAATAGCCACTTTACTCCTTCCAAATTGATACCTCCAGTTCTAGTCAAGTCAATGGTACTTTCAGTTCTAGCTTAGGTGAACATGGATTACTCTGGCAGGTCTTCCTCATCCATGTTTAAATGTGCTCCAGGGTGACCAGACACATATCTGATGGGAAATATTACAGGTGAAAATGCTGGTTGTAGATGGCAATACTGAGAAGTGACTTCTTGGCTTGAAGCAAGAAAGACCTGAAATCTAAGCTTTGACTTGCTGAATCCTCCACAAGCTAATCTCACATGAGGTCTAATGTCCTGCAAAGTTCCCCAGAAACTAGCTGCAACCTAGTAAGTCAATCAATCACAGTCAGCTACAAGGCTTTGAGATAAGATCTTTGTAGTCAGGGTAGATGTGGTATTCTATTCTAATAACAGGGCAAATTGGAAAAACCAGTAGGCCTGCAGGGACTCCCAGGATAAGTGTCATCAGTATTTGGGGTGGGGTCTGTTTTGAATGTTGGAGCTGATGCATACCAGCAGTACCAGCCTCTACATACCAGATTACAGTAAAATTTCCCTACTGAAATAACAGCAACAAAAAAAAGTCCCTGGCTGTTGCCTTGTCAGAGATGGGGGACAAAATTACCTCTAGTTAAGAGTTACTGATAAAATAGGTAGGAAGCTCTGAGTTCCAATCCAAGACCATTGATTAACTGAACACATGGGCAAGTGGCTTAAGCTTTCTGGTATACCATTTCCTGGAGTTAAAAATAACCAGCTATAGACATTGAAGAAATAAAAGATTTAGAGTACCCAGTACATATACATTGTTTAATTAATCCTGGATAGTAAAAGCCTGAATTTTATCAATTTGCTATAAATCACCTTTTATTGGACACAGTTTGTTTTATGCATTTTAAGCATCAAACTTTATTGATTCACTAAGATATCAAACCATGAAAACATAAAGAAGAACATTATAATAACAGAATGAATATTTAAAAACAAACAAAAATTTAAACCATGAGAAGACTGAGTCTTTGCCTGTCAATAATAACCTTGTGTTTAAATAAACAGAATTTCCTAGTTAGAAACAGAGACCAGGATGCGGAAGAGAAGGCTAAACAGAAAACAGCTATTTTAGATGATTAGCTCATTTAAGCTTCAAGGTAATTTTCTGGGGTGGATGCCATTTTTGTCTCCATTTCTAGATTAGAGAATTGGAGCTTAGAAAGGACCAGTGACCTACCCAGATTGTTGGGGATCCAAGAAATTGAAGTTCAAGGCCCTGCACAATCCAAAGTGCTTGCTTTTACTGCTGATGTGTAAAATAGACATCCAGAATTGCAAGGGGTCTCCATTACACAACAGCTCTACCTAATGGCCAAGGCGTCGTTAATTATGCACACAGAAGTGTTTGCATTGCATCCTGCTAGCAAAAGGATGCAGACTGGCCTATCACTTTTGGGAAACGTAAAGCCTCCCGGCGGCTTTTTGTACCTCGATGTTAAAATTTTATGAAATGCTCTCTCTTGCTGCTACATTTCTTACAAACAGTTCAGTCAAATTTTAATGAATGACAGAACTATCCCATCTCCCGAAACAATTCTCAGGCAAATTGAAAGTGGGGGAATCTCTTGCTGCTTGTAAGCATGTGAAGCTTTCCTTTCATTTCCGTGAGCTAGGTCCAGGTAATGCTGTATGTTATTTTTCATCCAAGTCCAAAATTACTGTAATTTACCACCTAATGGGAGCCCATTGTGGGTGCACGAGCTCCAAAGATGGCACCAAGGGCCCTATGCTTCTTCGCTCAAATGCTTGGACCAGGTAATGAGCTTCACGGGGCGGGGGGGGGGGGGGGACAAAATACGAACAGCAGGAAATAACCAAATCCACAGAGTCAGTAGGTGGGGAAAAGGCCAGCTTCACTTAAATGAGAAGCAACTTCAGTAGCGCTAATGATCTGACTGCTAGACTGGGGGTGGGGGAGGGAGCCTTGAAGCAGTTTGAATGGCCGATTCCTCCTGGGTGAACAATCATTTAGGCTTTACCACTAACCTCATCCGTTTTCCCTAGAAGAAAGACATCAGGGAACATTTCACTTGAGGCTACAAGAAAGCACAATGCTATAGCCGTGTTTGAGTTTTCCTCCTCACTTGTTAAAAGCTCCTGTGTAATAATAATGAGTTTCCCCATAGGTTACTGTCTGAAGCTCACTGGAAGAGGGGAAATGGGATGCATCTTCTACTTTTTTTTATTTTTGGAAGGGATGTCAGGAATTTAATAAGTACAGGAATTCCTGTATTTCTTGATTGCCCCCATCAGAATGATGAGGGGTCAGCGCTGCAGCCGGGACCGGAGGATACCCAGAATCCACTTTACCTAAAAATGCAGTGTGTTTTTATGATTCAAACAGTCCAGTCAACTTCAGTTTTTTTGTTTGTTTGTTTGTTTTGTTTTTTGTTTCCCCCCCCCTCCTCTGATTAGATTTTCCAAACTCGACTGCTTTATGTAATGGCCCCTGTGTAATGACCTGTGTAAGATACAGTAAATTGCTAAAAACCCATTCCTATTATTTCAACCTTCCATTTTACAGAGGGAATTTTTGCCTTGATTTGAATATGTATGTATTCCACGGAAGCAATTTTCAAAATGGTCTTCGTCTTCTCGGCTTTTTGGTAATTCGGACTCTTGGTGCACGGGCATTTGGTTGATAGGCAACATTTTAGCTAAGCGAACACTAATTGCACCTGCGGGAGTGATAGGGGATACAAGAAAATACAGTGAATCACAATGGCTAAATAATTCAGTTAGTGAAGTAAGTAGAAGAAACCGGGAACTCATATGTAACTACACCCATGGAACTTTTAAGGAAAAAAAAAATGGCTTTTCTTTTCTAACTACATGATCAGAAAACTAGATATCCCACAGCATCCGTAGTATGGGATATCTAGATATGGGGGGGGGGGGGAGGGAGGTTGGTCCTGCTTCAAAGTGTTGTGATAGACTTTGTTGATTCTCTGAGGAGTGTTAAAAAGGGTGAGGTGGGGGAAGGTGGGGGAACAGGAGGAGGGGAAGGAGTGGACTTGGTATGTAAAATGAGAAAAGATTTTTTTAATTAAAAACTGACAAAAAATTACTAACTTAAAAACCATGGAATATATATAGATAGCCCTGCAACATAATTCTTAACACAGTGATGCTAACATTCAGTTTTATATTTTGATTGTTGGTCAAGAGGTGAATTTGACTGATGTCTGTATTATGTTTGATCCTCAGTTTCCCTGCTTTTAAATTGGAGATATATACATATACATGTATATGTATATGTATCCCCATAGATGATGTATGAACAGAAGTTCAAATGACTACAAGTTAACTGATATAAATTCAGAATTGATTCTATTCCATCTTGAAATTCCTCATGGGAGGGGCTGGCAAGTAATACATTAAACAAGTTAGAAGCCTACCTGGCCTCTAAGTAGATTCTAACCAACAGACTGTCATCTCCTTGTCATTCTTAACTCTTATGCAGATTCCTTCCTTGAGAGCTGGACAGGTAGTGGGAGTTTAAAATAAATAAGGGAATTAACATTAACCCAGATCAAAATTTCAATCCCTTAGTCCTGCTAGTTACACAGTGGCCACACACAACTAATCACCACCATGTCCCACAGAGACAGCCTCTCTGTTGTCAACAGAGAAGAACCTATTGGGTACTCAGACTGAGTGTCCCTGTGTTTTTAGGCCTTGATGCTCGCCATTCTTAGCTTTCAGTAGTTTGAACTACCTTAGGGCTTATGGGAGAACAGCCTCATTGCTTGGTCAGTGTCAGACTAAAGGAAAATCCAAAGTCAATGAGAACCGAAATAGGCAATAGAGAGAGAATAATGGGTTTTAAAAAATACACCGACCTTAGTGTAAGGAGGATTCAAGAAACACCTTTGTTTGTCACATACAGTTTGCACTGAATATATCCACGTCATGCTGTCTTTTCCATGTGGGCATCGGGGTTTCAGATGGTCTAGCAGTTACACAGAAGCTGTTTCTTGAGACTGTGATGAAATTTAACTACATGTACATCAGCAGCACATGCTTCCAGCACGTTTATTCCCAAAAGGGGCAGCAGATGCTCTTGAGTTACCAGCACTTCCTGTTCAGAACTTAGATATTTACCCTTGCTTGGGCCCTGTGTGTCATCAGTTTTTGTTCTCATTAGTATTTTGGTTTTTACCACTTGCATATAAAGGTGCTATTGCTTAACACACATCTTGTCACCACATATAAGCCAATGAGCTGTGTATGTTTGCCTTTAGGTTATTTTGTCCATTGAAGAAGGGTACAGACTTCCGGCTCCGATGGGCTGCCCACCATCTCTGCACCAGCTGATGCTCCATTGCTGGCAGAAAGAAAGAAACCACAGGCCAAAATTTACTGACATCGTCAGCTTCCTTGACAAACTGATCCGCAATCCCAGTGCCCTTCACACACTGGTGGAAGACATCCTTGTGTAAGACACATAGTGTTGATATTTTTCTCCTGACAATCATAATTTCTTTCAGGTTACAGGCAAGAACAACAGGTAGAGGGAATGAGTTTTCCTTGATAATTGTCTAATTGCCTACCCTGTATAAAGCTCATTTTATTTATTAGCAGAACAGATTTTTTTTCAAAAGAAAAAAAAATCCCCCTTCTTTTCCCTCTGTATCTAAACTATCTATTACTTTATTTATATTTCTCATATGTGGATCTTTGATATTTGTGTCTTTCTTTACTGATCCTTCTTTATCTTATGAGTAGAATTTGTGTGCATGTGTGTGTCCCCTCTGATTTTCTTCCCATACTATATTCCACCTCTCTATTTGAATCACCAGAAGTGAGGATGTTCCCTGCTGGTCTGATTACACCTTGCTGTTGTTACTTTCCTCTCCCCAAATCAAAATCAGTGAAGGCACTGATACACCATTTTGCAATCTTCAATAGAACCAAGAAAATCTACTTTCTTCTCTGTGAAGAGAAATGAAAAGAATGGAATAAAAATAATCCTCATCTCTGTCTGACATATTATACTTAAAATATCATCAATGTCTTCTTTTAGACTAAATTATAAATAACCAAAACACGTCTTCCTGAATGACCAGATGGCCATAGGAAGGCATTCACTGTGGATAACAAGTTCCAGTCAGGATAGGATTTTAGTAGCAGCAAGACCAGGCTCTTTAAGGGCTATTTGAAACAGGCCTCTTTTCACTAAAGAGCATGTGAGAGTTCACCTCTAAATCACTAATTGGCAGCCTCAGCAAGATGAAGCCAAGCATGAAATAGCTAGTGATTCAACTATTGCTGCAGCCCATCTCCTCTGTGCAGTCCAGTAAAGGAAGCTGTGAACAAAAGGCACAGGAAAGAAAGGCACTTTGAATTTTATTATCAAGGCAATGGACAGCCACTGAAGGATGTTTAAGCAAGAGAACCATGTGGTTACAGTTACACTTCTAGAAGATGACTCCAGTGTCATCGGCTTTGAATGCAAAACAAGGAGCAAGATGGGAAACAGAGTCACGTGTATCTTATCAGACATCCAAGTTATAAAAGTTCAAGGCCTAAGGTATACAGTAAGAATAAAGTTAAGATCATGAGAAAAGAGAATGAATTTATTGTCAGGCAACACACACAAATAATCTCAATGTATCTTGGTCAATGTTAATATGGAATGAAGAAGAGAGGAGTAGAAAGTTGTCATGTTTCTTTTTTTGCACAGTGGGTGGTATACTTGCTAAGAGAAGAAGAGAAGTAAGTTTTGGAGACTAAATGAGATTTTTGGGGGCATTCTGAGTCAGAGATGCCTGTGGGACAATCAAGTGGAAATTCCTAGGTGCATAGTTCTAGGTTGAATTTGAGGTAAAAGATCTGGGCTATGGAGCTAGGGAGATGGCTCAGTAGTTGAGAGTGCATACTATTGTCGAGTGAGTTTCCAGTTCCTACCCAGGACTGCTCAAAACTGCCTGTATTATGGACTCCAGGATACATGACCCTTTCTGGCCTCCATAAGTCCTACACTCATATATACATACCCTCCTGTAGACACTTGTGCATAACATAATTGCCTTTTTTTTCAAATGTATAGGCTAAAGGTGTACATTTGAAACTGGCAGCAAATAGATTATAACTGAAAGCATTAACATACTTAGATAACCTATGAAGAAAATAAAGACTGCAAATAAACAGAGAAAAAGAACATCAAGAGTCAAGACATGATCCCTCCCCTTCTCCCCCACCCTACCCCCCCACAAAAAAAAAAAAAAAAACAATAACCAAAGGAGACTGAAAAACAAAAGCCAGACTGCTAATCAGGAGACATGGATGAAGACTCACAATAAAAGCCCAAGGAGAAGCCTGTTTCAAGGAATGTGATACCCAAGCCTTCACAAAACTTCAGTAAACACAGAGTGGAGTGTTAGCTGGATTTAGTAGTGAGGCACACAGGTTTGTGAGCAGCCACAAAGGGACAAGCTTTTGTATAAAATTTATGAGACAATAAAGAGGGAGTAGAAAGTCAAAATAAAGATCAATAGATAGTAAAAACCTGTCTCCAATAGGCAAGATAAGTAGAGAAAATGTTTCTTGATTATTTTTTTGTTCTCATATTTTCTTTAAAATACAGTATTCATGATTGAGAGAACATCATAATGGAAACATACCACAAAATAAGTTCTACCTTCATGGAAGAGGACTCATATCACATCTCTAAAGCTAAATCATTTCCTCAGGACTTTCAGTAACTCAGTGTTAACAGACTTAATGGTGGCCTTAGCAAAGGTATCTAACTGGCATAGTCACCATTTTTAATTGACTGCATTTTAAGACTGTGAATAACCATATTATTTATAAAATACTCAGGAAGAATCTCAAATCAGAAAATGACCAAAAACTGGGGTGGGGGGAGATACATAGGTCAAGGCAGACGCGGGGTCCTGATTGATGGCCAGAGATCCACGATGAAGAGACTGTCATGCTCCAAGAGCCACACCACGCACAGGCCAGAAGCTGCATCCCTCATATAAAGTTGTCAGCTTGGTTCAATTCCAAAATCTAATCTCTCTGAAACAAATGGAAATTTTTTTGTGAGTGATTTTTCTCTCCTTGTTTATGACAGAGGCACATGAACTTTTTGTTTTAATATATTTTTGCTTGAGAAACAAAATGAACAAGAGTTCCCGGGGTAGTATCTGCCTGAAACTGCTCTTTATTCATATTATCACAAGGGCCAGGATTGGATTTCCCTGTCTTCTCACTGGCACCGTATTCCCACCGCCCTCCACACGTTGTTTCTAATCCCAGAGAACTGAGACACTTTATTGTAATGAGATGGCCTGGTTGGTTTTGTGCTTATAAAAGGGTGACAAGTACCTCCACATGAGAAACCCCTCCATCTCCCAAGTTCTGAGAGCGCATGCCTGTCCCAGATTAATGTTGGATTAAGGAAACATGACCATCAATCTTTGTGACAGAGTGCCTCTCAAACATGCCAGCTGGAGAGATGGCTTGCTACATAGGACTACTTGCTCTGCAAACACGAGTGTTACTCTGAGTTTGAATCCCTAGCACCCACATTAAAAGAAGAAGAAGAAGAAGAAGAAGAAGAAGAAGAAGAAGAAGAAGAAGAAGAAGAAGAAGAAGAAGAAGAAGAAGCTGATCATGATTGTGTGTGCCTACATCCCCAGCATCAGAAGTAGAGATAATAGAAGCTCAAGAGCTTGCTGGCCAGTCAGCCAGCCAAACCAAAATAGCAAGCTTCCAATTCAGTGAGAAATATTGTCTCAACGATGTAGGGCAGAAAATGAAAGATTTGGTGTCCTGCTCTAGCTTCTGCATAACCACATGCATGCAGTACACACAGGCACACACATGCGCTAAAGAGCCTGAGAGGACAGTGAGTGCACAGCTACTCACCATTAAACTCTCCTTTACTCCAGTGTCCCCAAACTCCAGGTTGCTCTCATTTCTACACCAACACAAGCATTGTTCTTTCATTGACAACATTCCCATGGATTTTATTCCACCCTAATTGTCTTTGTCTGAAGAATTCACCTAAGAAACTTTTACTCTTTGTCTTGGCAAGGGTAATAAGTGGGGTGGGGAGGATTAAGGTGACTAAAGAGAATAGAGAAGGTTATGGAACCCATAGTTTAATATTTTTGTGCTAGCAAATTAGAAATTTCATGAATCACATTGGTAGCCTTTCCTTGTAAGCACCTGAGTGTTTCTGCAGGAGAGACATTGATCCACTCACTACTGGGAAGAGCAGTTTTCACTCTTCTGCTGACATCCCTTGGCCTGATACTTCCCCACAGGCATATTCTGTTGGGAGCTGTGGAGCTCTACAGCTCCCAACACACTATTTTAAAAGGTGTACAGACATAAATGAGGCCATGGTGGTTTATGTATGAATGTCCTTAAATTCAGCTAACTGCTAAATATTTTCAAAATTACCATCTTGATGGAGGCAAGCAACATTCCATAAATGCAGCATCAATGGACCCTCATTAATCACTTTACAATTCTTTCCTCTCCAAGAGTCATTTGTAGTTGTCACATGGTACACAATCCTCGGTAGAATAGGAGTGGCTTGAGATCAAGGTTATGTGTAGTAGAGCATTTGAAGCAATGCCTCACTATACTTCTGTTCCTTCCCTCTATTCGGCCTCGCTCCCACAACTCTCAGGGTCAACCTTGCAGTTCCTGATTCCAAGTAGGGATAATCCTATAGAGTCCAGGACTGTATCTGGCTACCTGAAGTTTAATTATACAAAGTGGCCTGATTACCACGTACTGTCCTTTCACTAAGTCCTATCTACCTTCCCTACCCTACCACATCTCCCTACACATTCATTCTCCATCCTTTTCAGTACTCCTGGATTTGGTGTCTGCTAAGCATACTAGATTGCAGTCAGCTAGCTGTAATTTTTTTTTTTTTTTGACGACACTACAGTACAATTGAGAAATGACATTCCTACGGCTTAGTGTATATAACTCAGTGGCAGAATCCTTGCTTGCCATTAGCAAGTCCCTTCCTTCAATGCCTAGTATTGCAAAAAGAAAAAAGAGGAGGAGTAAGAGTAGGTAGTAGGGAGAGAAAATAACATTTCCAATTCTGTTCCAGGCCCACTGCAAGTCACTGGCAAACAATTTTGTGCTTTTTAAACATCATTTCAAAGATGGTATCTGGTGATATGCAGCAATTGCTTGGATGGATGATACTGGCCCATAATAGTCAATGGGCTCATTCATCATGTTCTGCTAAAGCAAGGGCACATTGTAAATATTTTCAATATTCACTGGTCATGTTTAGGGATCCTGTAAATGTGTAGTTCTTAGTAACTTCAACAGCTGTCTTCCTGGACACACACAAGGATATGGTTGTATGTTTAAGCACTTGGTTTCTAGTGAATGAGGAAGGTAGGAAAATAATCACATCATCACTGTAATGCTTTTTCTCCAGAAAACCATGAG